TTACTCTCATTCTTAACATTTATAAGAGAGGGAATTGGTGAGATAACCCTATACTAGGAAATATTATCCTTTTTGAATATGTAATTTTGTAGAGTAGGATGCTATAAAACTGTGTTTGTCTTGCATTATGATTCTACAATCATCCTTCTGTTCATACTTGTTATACTGCATGCAAGCAATCACATAGTCTTAGACCATTGTGCTTTTGGTATTGTTGGAAGTTAAAACCCAACAATGTCCCAGAGAAATGAAATATTTTAGGAAATATTAAAAAGGCAGAATATTTCCCCTAAAAAGATAAGTAGGAACTCAAGAGAGGTAGAAACTCAGTCACTCCCCACCTTTGTCAATGGCCATTAAAAGCCTGGCCCAGTCTAGTCTACATAACAAAGGTAGGATTAGCCTTCTGCTGCAACTCACCACAAGGCACCTGGGGAAATTACATCAGCCAGCAAGGCAACCAAACTTGGACTCAAAGCACAGCCTACAGAATTGCCTCTGCATTGCCCATGGTTTGACAACCAATCAGAATACAAGCTCAAATTCAAAGCCCAGAGAGGTCATAAAACCAAGGACTTGTAGCATCTCGCCCCTTTTTCTACTTCACCCAACAACTTGAAGCATGTGATCCTCGTTTTCTGTTCAGGAGCTCAAGCCATCTGATCCTGACCACCATTAAACGATCTTTCCAAGCAGCCTCCATGTTTCCGGTGTCTTTTCCCCCACTTGGAATTGAACCCAGAAGGACATTTCTTCCAACAGTATTAAAAACCTCTGATTTTCTGGTCTCCTTTGTATCACTGAGTGTAATGATCAAGATCAAATTGAATTTTTAAAATGTTGGGATTTTTTTTTTAATGTACTTATTTATTTGAAGTAGCCATCTTTGGAATTTAGCAGAAAAAAGTTCTGGAGTACTAGTCTGGATTGGGATGAGGGCCATAAGGAAGGAAATTAGGGTAACACTTTTATTTCCAATTTAAATTCATATTGAAATGGTTACTTCCTGCAACAACAGCTGAGAGGGATTAGCAGGAATACAATCTTAGTGTGTGGGGCAATTAACTAATTGCCATTGTTTTCTAATCCATCCATTCACAGCTGTTATTTTTTAAAGGAAGAACAGTGAGCGTGTAATATCACATGTCACATAGTTTCTGAGATCACATATCTTCAGATTGGACACAAACTGATGCATTAGACTCACTCTCAAAAATAGACTGTAAATTGCTTAGCCTTTGAATGTTTAATTTTAACTACTGTAGCTTGTTAACATTGGAAAAAATAATAGAAATTCACACAGGAATGGATTGTTAAGAAATGGATAATTGATTAGGAATGCTAAATTGTGCTTGAAAACAGAAACACAGTTGTATCCAATAGGGGTTAACAAGAACAGCCAGATAATGTGCAACTTTCAGCTGCTTGTGATTAAGAACAGCTGACTTAAATTTATGTGTCTGCATGTAAGTGTGTAAGTGTACAATCAGATTTTCAACTCCAATATTTACATCCTTTAAAAAGAAACAACAAATATATTCACTTGTCTGGAAATTAATCATTTTCTCATCCGTTTAAATTTTAATTAAGAGAGAAAGCAGATTTACAACAATTCAAGACCTCTGGAATTTTATGTTAGCTTTAAAACAGCTACTGGAGTCTAATTTTGAGTACTATATTTGAATCTTTTCATAGAAGGCAACTTTGAGATAATCTAGTCCAACCCACTAAATTCTTGATTTGTTTTATCCTATGTAAATTTCCTCCTCCTATTAATTTTCGGTATGGAGAAAATAATACAGATATTAATATCATTTAGTTTTATCAATTAAGGAAGATTTAGATCTTCCTTAAATGGACAAGTATTATATCATTCAAAATAATGGAGGTCTATGGAGATTCTCAGTCATTAAGGACATGGTTGTCCCAAAGGTATTTTCCAAGAAGCAACTGGGCTTTCTGGACTTTTTTTTTCTTTGAAGACTTTTCACTTCTCATACAAGAAGCTTCTTCAGTTCTGACTGGATGGTGGGGAGTGGAAGGATTTATACTCCTGGGATACATCAATTTGTACCACTCAGCTGACTCTGATGACACAGATAAACCTCCAGGTGGTCTTAACAACTTTGCTAAAAGATTGCAAATGACCATCTGTCTGCAGGGAGTATAAATAGCAATAGCATTTAGACTTGTATCCCCTTCACAGTGCTTTAGAGCCCTCTCTAAGCAGTTTACAGAGTCAGCCTATTGCCTCTAACAATCTGGGTCCTCATTTTACCCACCTTGGAAGGATGGAAGGCTGAGTCAACCTTGAGCATAGTGAGATTCGAACTGCCAAACTGCTGGCAGCTGGTGATCAGCAGAAGTAGCCTGCAGTACTGCATTCTAACCACTGCACCACTGCATAAATCCTTCCATTCCCTACCATCCAGTCAGAGGTGAAGAAGCTTTTTTGGATGAGAAGCGAAAAACCAGTAAATCCAGTTGCCTCTTGGAAAAGCACCTTTGGGGGAAAATAATGGAGGCTTTTATAGACGTGATCTTCTCAATTACAAAGATGAAATAAATTAAACATTAATTGCCTCTTGGATTTCATTTTTGGGGGGAGAGTATTTTGTCATCCTTGGGAATTAACATACATGAACCCACAATAGTGTCATATACTTGTAATCAATATCATAAAACATTTCAAAACATGCCTCTCCATTGTCAGAAGCAAACTTGCATGTTGGAATCCCTGCTGAATTATTGGGGCTGAGAGGGGGGAGTTTAGATTTGGAAATCAGCTAGTTTCTTTTTTTAAATACCCAGATCTCTTAAGAGAGGGGATGAGGTTTGGTTTCCTATGAAACTGCATAAAATTTTCATAGAACCTTAGTTGTACACAGACCTCCCTTTAAAAAAAAAATCACAATATTCTGCTAATAATGTCATTATAGGCCCTTGGTAATACTTAGCATAATGATGCAAATTTTGGAAGTCTCTAGAGATTTGGAGTCTTTCTTCAGTATTTCAGAGGTACTGAATGTTATGAGGACTCAAATTGGCAACAAATAGCGGGAAGAAGGCTGAAGCTCTTTGGCAACCTAATAAAAATCTAATAAAATGCAAAAGTTGCTAAATCAGGCAAGGTCACTGAAGAAGTATAATTTGATCTGTGCTATTTGTGCAGCAAGCTAACCCCTTTCCATTAAAGCAAAATGTTAGGGAAAAGGACAGATGTCAGCAGTATGGTTCTCTTTCTTTTTTAAAATCCGAACTTGATCTAAACAGTGTTTTATACTCTTTTAAATATAGACATTAATCAAAAAAGAAAAGAAAACTTAGGATAGGAATGAATTCAAACTCTTGGATAATGTACAAGAGAGGCTGCAAATCAGAAGGGATGCCTTGTTAGTGTACCTTGTCTTGTGCCCTCTATGAGCATTTAATGAACAAGCTGGAGAAAATAAGGAATCAAGAAATGGTTAAATGGTTTGATCACATTGTTTACTATAATTAATAATAATGTCTAAATCAATTATCTCCAATATTATATGCCCCAGGAGTAAAATTGTAAAACTTGGAATTTACAGATGGTATGCTTTGTAATGCGAAATTGTATGCTTTAAAGTCAGGTGGCAAAAACATTGGGTCTATGGAGTAAAATTTTATTTTATTTATTCTCTTTGGTTATATTGCTTATATGTGGTGCTCCACTATTGGTTCTTTTTTAAGCTGAGTATCCATTATCCCAAGTTGTATAATGATTGAAGTGTGGGAAGATACAGGCTCTAGTCCTTAACCAAGGCGTGTACCTTAGGTGAATTTAGATAGGCCTCCTCTCTTGGCCTGATTTAATGTCTCAGGGTTATTGAGGGGGGAAATAGGAGAAGAGATACCTATGTGGTTTGAGATTCTGAATAAAGATAGTATATAAAGCTAATAAATAAAAACATATATACTAACTATATATATATATATATGTTTTTATTTATTAGTTTTATATACTATCTTTACTTGTGTGTGTTTGTGTATGTGTCTGTGTATTCAAATTCAGAGCCTTGTCCCAAGTACTAAATTATTTGGGATATGGCTGTCCAAAGTTAAATATCAACAATAAATTAAAAAAACCAACCTCTTGAAGTCATTTGATCTACTCATGAATAATCCTTATGATTACATAGTTGTATCTGAAATTTAACCAAAACTTTCTTTTCATCCCTTTTCTATTCATCAGTTTTTGTTCTATCCTCTTCTTTGACCATTCTTACACTGTGTAAAGATACTGTCTATTTTATTGTATCTCCATTTACCAGTAATCATTTCTATAGTAGGCTAAATAAACTCAGCTGCTGCAAGCCTTTTTTCTCATAGGACATTGTTGTCCTTTCTGGATTGATCTCCTTAAGTCCTTTCAGAGTCCATGTTAGATCTGAAATTCATCATTTTAATAAATTTATAACTCTGTGTGGGAGGAGGTAGAATGGAGCCCAGTGGTGTAATCAGCTACATTCATAATTGGAATTAAACCTGGTTCTGATTTGTCCTTTTACTGAACTGCAAGAGCTAGTAGTGGAGCTACTAAATAATCTTTACATATCAATTACTGAAAGCAGATTTAAAAGCACTTAGAAAGGTAACTCTTTAAATCATGCATGTCAGTTTTATTTTGTAGATATTTATATAGTTCTTTTTCCTTGTTATTACAATACTAACAATTGTTGAAGCATCATGAAATGGAATAGCCGTCCATTTGACTTGTAGAACTTCAGCCTTAGGTGCCTTTTAAATATTAATTTTATGCATTTGTGTGTACAGCAGTAAAGAAATCTTAATGGAATACTTTAGGAAGATCTCTATAAATAGTGTACACCTTGAGGGAGGGATTCACCTTGAGCATTCACCAACTTGATCAGTATTTTATCTTTCAAGAGAGAGGGGGAGAAATAATTTTCCCTTAGGCAAGAGTTTTAACATTACTAAAAAGAGTTTACTCTCTATTTTTATTTGTTTTACAGACAAGGAGCCCAAAGCTTTCTCAAAGTCCACAGCCCAGCTTGGGGGATCAAGCTGAATATTTGTCAGAGGTATCTGTTGACTCCTTGGAAGTCATGTCAGAAGCAGAGCCCCTGTCTCCTTTTGCAAGGGGAAGCCGTACTCGAGCAAGTCTTCCTGTTGTGAGGACAACAAATCAAACAAAAGAAAGATCTCTAGGTAAGACATCACCCATAGGAATCTGTTTAAGGTTATGCTTTACAATTTCCTCAGTAGCTTTGAGTATACAGCTCTATGATACAAGTTTGTATATATGATATACAATGAACAAGAGACAGATACATATAGGCCTAAGGCGAGATTTAATCTTTGAGTTATCACCTCCAAGAGAGAACATTCTTCTGAGACCAGAGGCAACATTCTTATGAGATCAACTGAGCATTTTCTGCATGCTCAAAATTAGTTGCGTGGAAAATTGAATATTGTTATAAAATGTTTCAGGAAACATGCCAATTTGGTCATTATGGAAGTGACTGCTACTTTCCTAGACGTAAATCATCCAGAACAGGAAGTAGTTTGTATCTGCTAGATACAGTTTGGCTCTTTTAAAATCCTTGAATTTAATAAAGTTATGTGAACTCAGCTTTCCAGTTATCTCTCCCCATAAATAAGTAATTTTTCTTTAAATTACATTTTATTTTGTATGCAAATATAAAAAACAGGAGTCCAAATCAGAAACTTAAAGCTGTTTCGGCGAGGTCTCATTCGCCATCTTCAGGCTGAGTTTTGGGCTTAAAGCGTGGTCGGAACTGCCAAAAAGTTGCCAAGACAATCTCAATCTTACATGGGAAAAGGCCCGAATACAACAAGANTGGTAGCCAATCGGCATTGGCCGGTAGATGGAATTCGGAGGAGGCCTAGTCTGTGGGATCTAAAGACCTAGTCTGTGCCTGAACTCTTGCGAGATCACAGACCCCAGAAATTCTCAGCACAAAAAGTGTTGGCCCTGCCTGCCTCCTACTCCCCTCCAACTCCTTTCCGCCACCACCAGAACACTTTCCCCCCAGAAGAAAACCTGATGGAAGCAGATAAAGCTTCCAGTGACTGAAAACTTCAGCTGCGTGCAAATGAGGCCTTTGGAAATGGAGGAAGGATTATTCCATTTTGAAATGCCCCATAGGTGCCTATGAGGCATTTGAAAAAGAAGAAAATCCCTTTCAGAGACCCCATTTGCACACAGATGAAGTTTCCAGTCTCCTTTTCCTCTGGGCGAAAAGTGTCCCGGTGGTGGCGGAAAGGATTTTGGGGAGGGGAGTAGGAGTAGGAGACGGGCACCACAATCACTTTTCACAGGAGCTTCCATCAACTCTCCTCTCTCTCAAAGGGAAAGAAATCTCAGCAGAGAGGAAACAGATCTTTGCTAGATAGGTGAGTCCTGTGTGGCAGGGAAGGAGAAGCATGAAGTATCTGTTCCATCACTAGGTTCCCCGATGGCCTTCTCCACGCTGAGATACCGCATGTGCACTTAATGAACCACACATTAAATTAGTGAATGCATCAGCAAAAGCAGGGAGTGATCTCGTTCAAGGTATGGGATTCACTCCCACGAATCCTCAAGTGCAGGCTCCATTACATTCATAACTTGTTTACCATGTTTCCCTGAAAATAAGACAGGGTCTTATTTTCTTTTGACTCCTGAAATAAGCACTTGGCCTTATTTTCAGGGAGATTTTTATTTTTGAGGTGCGGGAGGCGGTGAGTGTGGTCACCTCATGGCTACTGCTGGGTTGCAATATTTCCAAGAAGGGCTTGTTTTCAGGGGGGGCTTATTTTAGCACATGCGCTCAAAAGCCCGATTAGGCTTATTATCTGGGGAGGTCTTATTTTCGGGGAAACAGGGTACCTGTAAGTAGTCTCTCAGGTATCCAAGGACTAAGCCGAGGTGGCGCAGTGGTTAAATTCAGCACTGCAGTTCAGCAGTTTGGCTGTTCAAATCCCACCNGTGATGATACCTCCCGCCTACCAGACATCTGGAAACCAGGCCTAGTCAACAAATGAGCCCCATCCGCCACCCAGGCCATTACAACACGAAACAACAAGAGACGCACAGCCAGCACCAATCAGCACCAATCTACCAATCATGATACAACCACACAACCAATCATTCCACTTACTGAAACGAAGCCAGCACTCCACACCCCCCCACCAAGATTTATAGAAAGACAGCAGTTCCGATCACACTTTAAGCCCAACACCCAGCCTGAAGATGGCGAATGAGACCTCACGGGAACATTGCCAAGACTAAATATATATCCATGACAAGTTCTGCAATTATGTTATTACCTTTTAACTCAATGTACATAGTATAAAAGCAGTGGAAAATTAAAGATAAAATTGCATGTCAAGTGCAAATGTTTAGGGCCCCTAATAGTGAAAATTTACAATATGTAAATATAGGAAGAGAGATATTCTTCAAATATTGGCTATCCTTCCAATAATGTCTTTTTATGTCTTTTTTAAATGTCTTTTTAAAAACTCTGCAATATTCATTTTTTTCCTTCCTGTTCATATTTCAAACCATTAATAACATTGAGTATCTTCAAATAAATGTTTCAGAATAGAATTACTATGTGAACTTATCTCCAGAAGGGAAACAGTCTAACACCAAGCCACATATTATGAACCAACATTGCATTTTGAATACCACATCTCCAAGTAACTAAACCTTTCAGCTTCTTTGGGAAAAAATTATAGGCCTGAAATTAAGAGGCACTTTTTTTTTTGGTCAAAATTAACTTAAAGTTAGATTTATACCCAAGTGATCCATAGATTCTGAAATGACACTTTACTATATTCCACGCCTCTGTGTTGTCTTGAGCATTCATTGTTTCATATTCTAATAATTCCATAAACTTAAACAACTGCAGTGATCTGCTTAACAACCATGGCAAAAAAAAAGTCGGAAAATCGGGCTTGATTCCCTTAATAACCACCAAATGAAATTCTGATCCTAACTGTGATCATAAATAAAGAACTTCCTACAAACACACAAAAAATATTGTGGGTGGATTGCAGTGAGAGGATCTCTATGCTGTTTATATATGGGCTAAATCTGCTTCAAGCTGCAGGATAGAGAGTAAATTTGTAATTTATTTTGCCAAAGAAGGGAGGAACATTTGTTAGATGCAGGTCACTGAGCTCCATGGCCCATGAGTTACAGAAGTATCTTTTCTCCTTTTAGACCAGACTTGTTGAGCCAGGAACTTAATCAGTCCCCAGCTCAGGACATCCCTTTTGCCTTTGAACCCACAGCATCTTGTAATTTAATTGTTTTGGAATCAATCCTTACAATTAGCTACTCAAGGAGGAGGCAAAATACTATCATAATATACAATCGGGGTGTTCTCTATATAAGGCAGTGAATTGCTGAGGCAGGCAAAAGGTTATTAACATAATGATGTTCCTGTCCAGCAGGATCCCAGCTCCCAATGTGCAGAGTAGGATAAAATTAGATGTGTGGGTCATTAATCACAGAGTTGCTCATAAACTCTGAATGTAGTGGTTTATTTATTATGCTAACAATCCTGGGCCATTTTTTTTCCCAAGACCGCTTTGATATCTGATATGTAACAGACTTTCTTAAACAGTCCAGAAAAATTGTAATTCAAACACTTAACTTATTTTTCCAAAGTGAAGACAGACTAAAAATAAAAAAGGCTGTACCTTCCATATATTTTAAAGTAACGAATGCACTTCACTAGTTATTACATTTGCCTTTTCATGCCGGGGGCCCTTCTGATGTGTTTGACTGGCTGGGAATTATGATTGCCGTAGTCTTAATCTATGTGAAGGATTTCAAACTAAAGGATACACTACTGAAAGCACAGATTGCAAGTTTGGAACTTAGTTATCTGACATGGCCTCACACCTTCTTATATAGAATAATTCTGTGGTCATCGTCCTTCTCGCGCTAGGACTGCATATTACAGAAAAGAAATGTGCAGCCATTTAGGAATCCAATGATTAAATAACTTGATGGTCTATGATCAGATATAAAATTAAGGTAACTAGTCTTGGTTTGGGTTTATTTGGATCCATGAACAATATAACACTTTGAATACAGGTCTCAACTTATGACCAGTTTTCTAGTGACTATTAAACTGCAAGGGTGCTGAATGAACGATGATTATGACTGAAGCTTGGAGTTACAGCTATCTCAATCTCACGTGATTGTGCCCTTGGTGCTTGGCAATCTATTCATGTTTATGAATAGTTAAGAAGCACCCCGTGATCATGTGATCACCATTTGTAACCTTTCCTACCAGCTTCCCCCAAAAATCAGTGTAGTAATTTTCTCCCACCTTTGCATCTTCTCCAACCCTCTGGGCTTGTATCATGTTAGCCACTCAAGCATCATCACACCCTGACTTTTGTGGCATCTGTCATACCCTTCACATCATTCATGCATCCCTGTACACATGGCACTTCTCACACATCCTTATATATTCTTCTTGACCCTCCCCAAATCCCGTGTACTCCCCCACTCTCTCCTGCATTCAGCAGCAACCACTTACTGCCTGCTTGCCTGGGACTTTCAACTTCCTGCTGGCTTCCCCATTGACTTTGATACACCAACTATGGGATTCAGTTAACGTCAGCAACTGGGATTGCAGGGATTGCTGTTACTCAGTGAGACAGTCATGTGGTACTATCACATTGTTGAGACAACAGGAATTCTTAGGAAGTTTCAATTGTACTCATAAGCTGATGATGAATTGTAAAAAAAAAAAGGACAAATATGTATGTATCATATACATTACCCTAAGGGTTTTGTTCTAATTGCAGAATTTAGTTAATTGTGCATTCTAAGTTTATTTGGGCCATATGCCAGTATCTGTGCAATTAAATTCAAGTGGAATACCAATTCTTTGATTCAGTGTGTTATAAAGAATGTCTGTGTCATATTTAGTAGCTGTTAGAACTATGAAGATATTGATTTTGTCACTGACTGAATTGTGGACTTTAGTTTTATAAGCTCTGGATGTTATCTTCATATTTGAAAGGTTATTGTTGTTGTTGTTGTTGTTGTTGTTGTTGTTATTATTATTAATAATTTTATTATTATTACACTTAATTCTAGTATGCTAATTTAACTCTGATGTGAGTTTTGGGCTTTCTTTCTAATTCTATTCAATGACTTGTTCCATAATTGTTCTAAA